GAGGACACCTACCTAAAAAAAGAAATTACAAAACCCAAGAATGATTTAAAAATTAGTATCTTTACAAGTTACAAAACCTAATAACAATTTAAAAATTAGTCTATTTACAAGTTTCATGAAACTAAGAGCATTTTTAAAAACACCCTACTTAATAAATAAATAAGTTAATTATCTAACTGAAATCTTTCAATAACACTTTTGAATATCTCCTCATATTCGTCAAGTTTGTTATTAAACAACAGTCACAGATACACTCTGTGCACCTATTTTGTTGTTAGGCCCGTTTTCAGTTGGTTAGTTTTCACCTCAGTTTTAAGTAAGTTATGCATAGCCGGTACAAAATTTTGTTTTCACATTTCAAGCCCTGATACCTAAGGGTAAAATCAATTATTAAAGAATCTTGTTTTTTTGAACGAGATAGTCATGCTTTCATCTCTTGGGATTAAGGAATAAACTATTTACTGGCAACAAACTTTGCGATGAATCTATTTAACAGTATACCTCATTAATTACTGAACTCGTTGCATTAATTTGAACCTAACGATTTTCAATCAAAATTTAGGCACAGAAATGAAGATTTCAACCGTGATTTAGTTCAGTCTGTGATTCCTTTGACAGAAATTAAATTGACCAGACAGAAATATGAATACATGGGTCGTTTTACTGTTTGTTCCTTTCCATAATCGGAGTTGGAAGCGCTTAAAACGACGAACTGATACCATTGACACCTAAATAAAGTCTTTCATTTCTCTTCATTTCATTTCAAATAAAGTTTTAAAAAGGATTAATTCATCATCAAGGTCTAATCGCAGAGAGTCGCCTTGACTATAACTTATAGTTATCTGATGAAACCTCATTTTCTCTTGTATAAAGCCATTTTCTAGAGCCTTTTTCTAACTTTCCGATCTTGTTCTGTGTCATCTCGGGAGTTTTATCATCTTTACGAACATTTGACGCTCCTTTTCAAATTGAAATTTATATTTTAGGCCCAGGCCTGATGCGCGGCAGGATATTCAAACTGAAAA